ACACATTCTTGTGGCTGTGTTGGCAGCTGCTCTTGGCCATCCCTCTGGGCAGGTGTGGTGTTTTTAAACTGGAATTCTCTGGTCCAGAAGTCTGTTTGCAAAAATCAAAACAGGAATGAAAACCCCCGCAGTTTGGTCCTTCAGGGTTTGTGAGTGCAGGCACCAGTGTGCCACTCATGTTTTTTGCAGGGGCTGTGTCTATCCCTGCATTTTTCCATCTGCCCTGGCTTTACATTTGAAAAACTGTGATTGTACATCCATAACCATGTGCCTCAGTAGTGTTTGAAATAACCCCATCATCTCTCAAGGAGGCAGGTTCAGAGCAAAGGCAGGAAAGTCTCCCATGCAGTGCAACATTAGAGGTGGATCCATCACCACTGGAAGTGGAGGCAATTAACAGTTTGCAAGGCTCCAGCAGTGATTAAGCAGATTTTGACAAAGAAATCCCTCAATGGTTTAATTGACAAACTTCACCTCTTTTTCCAGCCAGAAAGCCCCAGTTTTGGGGATGGTGTTGGCCCTATTCATAGCACAAGCACAGGTTTCATCCTTGGAAGCAGAACCCGGCTATATTTGGAGCTGGATTTATCCACAGGCATGCTGCACGTGCATCAGCTGGGCTGTCTAGCAGCAAAATCCTGTCAGTTAAGTAATCCTACAGTAGAAGGTGGTTTCACATCCCACCTTCATTCAGYTTCTCACCCAAGAAAATGTCCTGTAATAAAAACTGGGATTTTCTGTTTTGGGAGCACCAGCAGCTCCCATCCCTTCCCAGTACTGGGCTGGTCAGTTGTTACCTTAGCTCATCTCMAAAAGGAGATGTCAGTGCAATGGCAGCAGTGGGCAGGAAAGGAATTCTGGGGGGTTTCAAGGCAGCAAGGGGGAGATTCTAATTTTGGGGTTCTCTCTGTGCTGAGATTTGCCAATAGTTGTGCAGCAAAATCCTTGTGATGGGAAGCACCAGGCATCCCTGAGCCAGCATCCAGGGGAACTAATGAGGCTGTCATGTAATTAGTGCCAGCAGGTATCGTGTCAGGACCCTGGGATGTGGGAGCCCAAAATCAGGACACATCCTAATCTCAGCTGACCTGGAGTGCTTTTTCTGGCAATAAAGATGGCCAGGAGTGCGTGGGAGCAGGTGAGGGGCTGAAGTGGGGGCTCGCTCCTGTGTTCATGTTGAGGGTGGAGAGGGCCTGTGGGGTGTTACCACCCCCTCTCCTCCTTCCCACAGTYAGCTCCAGCTTTCCCTCTCCTGCACTGCCCTTTCCAGATCCCTCTATTTTCTGGCAGAAAGGATTAAGCCTGACCTTCCACCCTGTCTCAGAGAGAGCCAAACCTCTTTCAGATCTAATTATTTTCCATTTTTGTTTAATTGTGCACATCCTGCTGCTGGCTGGGAAGGAGAGCAGCTCCTGCCTGGGCCAGGGCAGGGAAGGGCACCCAGCCCTTCATCCAGCCACAAGCTTTTGGGTCAGTGCTCCATCTTCTGGGGGGGTTGTGGTTTAGCCCTCAAAATCTCTTGGAGGTCCAAGCAAAGTTGCCAAGAAGCAGCTCTGGCACCATCCTGTGTTTCTGCAGTGGGGATCTTCATGCTCAACTCTCCCCCCATGTGAGGAGGAGGAGTCCAGCCTCAGCCACCTGCCTTCCTCCTCCTCTTCTGCACCCAGTTTACACCAGGCTCTGCATTCTCTCTGTGTGTGTTTTGCTCCTGTGTTTAAGTGGCGCCAAATTCTCTGAGCAGTGCATTGCAGGCCTTTTTTTAATGATCTTTGATTTCTCAGTTTATCTGAGCTGCTACAGAATCCCAGCTGGTGCCAGGCTGGGTTTTGGCTGTGCCAGCCTGAAAGTGCTGCTGAACCACCCCGAGAGTGATGATAAAATATCGGGGTGTGACATCCCACTCTGCAGGAGGATGGGGAGAAAATAAGACACGTTTTCAACTCACCAGGCAGCTGGCTAAGAGAGAGGGGACAGATAAAGCAGATTAATCCCAACAGGAGGTCTTGCCTGGAGCAGTGACATCTGCATATGGAGAATATGCTCTGGTGGGCTTTGAGTCCTGCTACACTCGTCTGTCCTTTACAGCATCACTAAGGTTGATTGTTGCATTCCCAAATCCATTTTTTAGCACCAAAACAACCTCACAGCATTCCCATGGGCACAGAAGCACACCCAGAGTACCAAAAGTCTCCTCTGCTGCAATGTAACAGTTTCCTTCTCCACCAAAGCTGTGCCACATCGTGTCCTTGGTCCTTTCAGCACAGGACGGCTCAGGCACGCCGTTGTCTGGCTTGGAAAGTGGCTCTGGAGGAGGGGGAGATCTGTGGAGAAGTAAATACCAGTGCAGAAAGTTCCAGTGAGAGTCACCAGCGTTTCCAGCAAGCCATCTAGTGGCTTCCTATTAAAACAGTTGCRTGCCTTGGAGCTGGGAAGGCAAAGCTGGAGGGGTGAGTGCTGCTCATCATCGCAGCAAACTGATGTCCAGGGTTTGGTCCTAACTGGGAAAAGTGTTGACTTGATGGCTCTCTCTGAGTCAGGGCTGGTGGGAGGGTTGGGTTAGCTGCTGACTGGCAGTGTGGGTCACACAGAATCATAGAATCATGGAATGTCCTGAGTTGGAGGGGACCCACAAGGATCATAGAGTCCAATTCCTGGGTCAYAGAATATCCTGAGCTGGGTATTGATTTGCTCTTGTGCCTTCCCWAGAGCAAACCTGATGAATGATCCTACAGATGGAGATCCAGATCTGCATTTCAGTGGTGTGGGTTCAGCTACCCYAGCTCAAAAACACATGGAGGATATCGGGATAATCAATGATTTAGAGCTTCTTGCACAGAATGTATTGTAGACAGCAGACAGGGAGGGAAAACCTGAAGTTTGGTGGGGTTTTGGCTCACTTAAGAACTCAGGATTTCACTTGATCAAGTTTTGGGTGGTGTGTTTAAAGCCAGCARAAGGAACTCCTTCTCCACCACATGSTTCAGTTGTGGCTCCTGCAGCACAGCCTATTACAGGGTCTGAAAGTTTGAAGGCTTCACTGGTGGGTTTGGTCAGCCCTGGAGGAGAGATACCCCTGGGGCTGGGAAATGCCAGTTGGCTGCTCTGGATAGATCCTGAGCTGTCCTTGTTTGGAGTTTGTATCAGTTCCTCAGAAAAACCTTTGGTGATGGATTACACAAAGTCCTGGGCCATCCTGTCGTGTAGAAGGCATTTTCATCATGTCCAACCTCATTCACCTTTGCTGTGGATTCAAATCCCAGAATCTTTGTTCTGGAAAAGCCCTCCAAGATCATCCAATCCARCCATTCCYYCAGCACTGYCARGSCCACRCCTGACCCATGTCCCTGAGTGCCAYATCCTCACAGYTTTTAAATCTCTCCAGAGCARCTTGTCCATGCCAGTGTTCACCTCTCAGCTGGGTGACAGGCAGGCTGGTGCAGCTTTTATGTGCAACATGGATCTGATGTGCTGTTCCCAGCCCAGCCCCTTCCCCATCTCGTGCTGCACAGCCATTTGATCCCATCTGCATGCACAGTTTAATGTTTGCACCTATTAATGCAGATGTGCTTTCACATCTTCTCTTCAAGTCTCACTGAACTGTTGAATATCCTGAGGTGGAAGGGACCCATAGGGATCATCCAGTCCAATCCTAGTCCTGCACAAACACCCCAACAATCCCATCCTGTGCCTGAGAGCATTGTCCAAATGCTCCTGGAGCTCTGGCAGGTTTGGAGCTCTGTCCATTCCCTGCAGAGCCTGGGCAGTGCCCCACCACCCTCTGGGGCAAGAAATTTTTACTGATACCCAACCTAAATCTCCTCTGACTCAGCTTCATGCCATCCCTTCGAGTCCTCAACATTGTTTGACTTCTAATCCAGTTTCCTTGAGTGTTTTCCTTTCTCTTAGCGTGATCCCTGCACGCTGATCACGTTTATCACATCACCCTTATCACCAGTGAYGTGCTGGGCAGTGTCAGGGCCAGGACAGATCCTCCCAGTCTGACGGTGAATCAGCAGCACCAACTCCCTCCATATGGTTTTCAGATGAGTTGTGTGCCCACATTAGAGCAGTTTCACTCTCTGCTGTGTTGCTGAGGGAGCCATGTGCAGCAGCACCTAATGAATATCAAGATATACAGCACTGCCTGTTCCTCCAGCGATTCACAGGCCAGTTGCTCTGTCGCAGAAGGAAATTAAATTGCTCTTGACAAATGGGTGTCGGCAGTCACTTATCATCTTGTTATCTTCTAAGTGCTTACAAATAGGTTGTTTCATTATTTGTTCCATCAGTTTTCCAGGAGTTTGGCTTTAGTGACCGGTTTGTAATTCCCTGACTTTTTCTTAGGCATATTTGAATCTAAACCCTAGGTTTGCATTTTTTTTTTCTGGTCTTCTAAAACCTCTCCTGTCTGCTGTGAGCTAGCAGAGGAACAGAAGCTCTGGGGCTGCTTCAGCTGAGCCCTTCCCTCTGTACCTTTGGGACTGGTGGATGCACCAACACCTTTGTTGGATGATTGGGTTCCTGTTGGAAAGCTCCTTCCCTTTTCCCTCTGTGGCTCTCACCTGTGTTACCTCCCTTGAATCTTGACCTTTTCAATTTTCCAGACAGTTCTTTTGAAAGACTAGCTTTATCCACAAAGTGCTTTTGTGTAATATTTTCTGGAATCTGCAACAATATGGAAAATTTGGGCCAAAATTTTAACCAAAATCAAATTGATTTTGATTAATATAAGGACAACAGCAGTGGAGTAGAGTTGGGTGTAGTTTGGCTTTTTTAGTGGTTTTCTGGAGCATCTGGTAACTTTTGGCATCCAGTTTGACACATTTTGCTATTTTTGGGGGGTGGTGACCTCCTTGCCAGGCAGTTGCTCACACTGAGGCACCACGCATGCAGAAATCCCTTTGGCATGTTACATTTACCCTGCCTGGTTATTTCTTTATTATCCCTGTTTATTCAATTTCTCAATTATCTCTTTTTTCCCCCTCCCGTTCCTTCRACAGGAATCATTAACCAGTGGCAACAAGAATCCAAGGATAAAGTGATCTCCCTCTTATTAACCCACCTGCCTTTACTGAAGCCCGGCAACATCGAGGCGAAAGTCGAGTACATGAAACTCTTGCCCAAAATCCTGGCGCACTCCATCGAGCACAACCAGCACATCGAGGAGAGCAGGCAGCTGCTGTCCTACGCCTTGATCCACCCCGCCACCTCCCTGGAGGACAGGAGCGCCCTGGCCATGTGGCTCAACCACCTGGAGGACCGCACGTCGGGGGGTTTCGGCGGGCAGAGCCGCGGCCGCTCGGACTCGCTGGACTACGGGCAGGCGCAYTACTATCACCAAAGACAGAACTCGGATGACAAACTCAACGGGTGGCAGAACTCTCGGGACTCCGGCATCAGCGTCAGCGCCTCCAGCTGGCAGGATAAAAAYCTGGCTTGTGAGAATGGCCACCTGCCCCTCTACTCCTCCTCCTCCGTCCCCACCACCATCAACACCATCGGCACTAGCACAAGCACCAGTGAGTACCCGTGGGAGGCATCCCCTCATCCCGTTAGAAAATACTGCTTTGCCGTGGTTGAACTCATCTGGGCCATAGAAAAATCCTTTTTTTTCTTCTTTTTTCTTTCCTCACCTGCTTTTTTTTTTATTTCCTGCTAGCCTTGTTGGGTTTTTTTCGCTCTAGTTCTGTGGGGTTTTAAAGACCTGGGAGCTGGAGAGGAGGGAAAAACAGTAAAGAGTAAGGAATACTTACAGCAAAAAATGTGTGTTATCAAAGGGAACCCCTTGTATTTCATGTAGCTCCATGTAGTTTTGMAGTTCATGTTTCAAGAGTGCCTAAAACAAGTGGAAAGCTGATGSTTTGTGTCCAAAAGTGAGCTGGAGGACTTGAGTCAAGTCCAAAAGCGTGCTGACAACTTACTGGGAGGAAATGGGATGGGGACCCCAAGCACAGGCATAAGTTTTGGAAGCAGGACTGCAAATCCACCAGCTTCAGGGTTTCTGAACACATTCCCTTAGATTTGCAGTGTAGAGGTGTGGAGCTGGTGGTGATGGAGGAGTTTAGATGGACACTCCTCAGTGTTTTCCAGCAGCGTTGGGTGGTTCTTCCCCCATGGAGACCTTGCCAGGCTTYGGTGGAGGGTGCAGAGCACAACCCAAGGTTTGGATGCTGCAAAGCGCCGTAACTGGAGATTTATCATGGGTTTTGTGTGAAGATGTAGTGCAGMTGTCACTGGTGTTTAAAGCAGCATTTGATGCCTGTGAGCCTTCCCTGGGAGAGGAGGAACAAGGCATCTCCTCCGTGGATTCARAAGCTTCCCTGCCCACTCTGTGGAGAGCTGTCACGCCTTTGGGTGACTGCCACCACCTCACCTGCAGGGCTGTGTGTCCTCCTTTGCTTTGACACATTCAGAAGGTCTCTCCAAGATTCTTTATCAGCATCTCTGAGAAATCAGGGATGGAGAGAGCACTTTGGGGAGGAGAGACTTCTTGTGGCAGCAATGCTGGTTTCTCTATCAGCGTGCGGAAAGCCACAATTAAATAGCTAAAAGCTTTAAAATGGTCACTAAAGGCTTCTGGGCTTTTCCCTTGCCTGTAAGAACTGCTTTTTTTAAAAGTGGTGTTTCAAATCAACAGCGATATGAAATACAGTCTGGGTTTATCACTGTAGCACCCTGCTCCCTGCCTCTCCCGTGTCCATCCCTTGTCCATGTGGGGATTTAACAAAAGTCTCAGCTTCTCCACAGACTCTTAACCATCATGCCCATCACATCCTCTGTCTGTGAAGCCCCCAGCTCCTGCTGCTGTGGGATTATGTGATGCTCATCTTCTCTGAGAGCCAGTTCCTGCACTATGAAGCTGTCCAGGGTGACCGAGCTGCATGGGAAAGGTTTAACAAGGAGGTAGGGTGAGAAGAACCCCATGACTGAATTTGCAGTTGGTCTGTTAAAACTCTCCAAGAATTATTTTTTTTGGGGGGGTTTCATGTGTTTTTTGCATGCCTGGCATTTTGCAGGCTTTGCACACCATGGAGGCAGAGGGAAGAGAGGCTTCAGAAGAGGTCTGGTTCCTCATGTCAGGATCTGGGGGGTGTGGTGGGTGCAGCAGGTTAATCACTGCCGGTGGCTGGAGCTCTGCAAGATGCATTAGATCTTGAAGGACTCGTTCCAAAAAACCCTTGGCATTTCTTTGAGCCTTTCTGTGCTCAGACTTAGCTCTCAGCAGAAGCATTGGCCCACCCCTTGCCCGCTGGGGTCCCCAAGTATTGGCATAAGAAGCCAAAACTGAGGCAACAGCCAAACTACACAGCGGTGCCTAAGCTGCTGCACTGCTGCTGCACTGCTGTGGTTTTCCCTAAATTCTCCCAGAATTAGGTGCATACAGCAGCACTGGGACAGGAACGCCTGCGGGTCTGCCAAAAGCCTTACATTTTACTCAGTCTTTTGCTTGAAGAGTGCATCCCTCCTCTGTCTCTCACTTGGCTGCATCATCCCCTGCTAGTGATAGTTTAGTCCCATGTGTTAAGCTGTTGTAACTCCTGCAGACATATTTTGGTGGCACCATGCTCAGACAACCGTGGGCTGAGCTGGAGGTGACCCAACCACACTTCATGTGTTAGTTCATAAACTTCCTTAACACAATATTTGGCTTGGGCACAAGCCTGGTAAGTCCACAGATAGATGCTAAAAAATAAACACGGCTGYCAGCCTTTGTCCCAGCCCCTTGACTCAATCGATGCATTTATTAATCTTTTATTCYAAAGCAAAGCTCTCAACCCCTTAGTGTTTGTTTAGGTTTTAGTGTTTTTATTAGTTTTAAGTTCTCCCTCTTACTCGGAGGTGTTTATCTGTTCAGAGGCTTTAATCCAGCGACACCCTGCAGGCACAACCTTCCCTGACCCATCCCTGCAAAGGCACTGCCTGTTCCTGACACTGGAATGGGGAAAAGTCTTCCCAGAGCAGTGGTGTGATGATCTCTCCTGAGCTATGTTGTTCTGGTGTTGTGGCACMATTAGGTGTGATGTTGGCTTAAATATGGGTGGCTGAAGTTCATGGGATGTTTTGCATTGTGCTGTCCTTGAGTTTGACTGAACCTAGACCACAGCTTTGAGATTTGGTTCAGGATTGGTTCAATTCCAGCCCTCACACAGCAGCACTGGCAGGGGTTAGCCAAGGTTTAGCCAAGGCTCGAGGAGCTGTTGCAGGAGGCAAGTGTGGAGTGCTCTGAAGGAGTCACTCTGGATTTACCATAATAATGGTGATCCAGGAGTGGAACCTRCATCCTGTGATGGATCTGGGTCTGGCGTGATCAGAGGATACGGACTCACCCCAAACAGTGGAAGAAGCCCAGAGAAGCTGTGGCTGTMTCATCCTTGGAAGTGTTCAAGGCCAGGCTGGATGAGTCTTCAGTSTGGTYTAATGGAAGGTGTCCCTGCCCACGGCAGGGTGGTGGATCCAGATGGGCTTYAAGGTCCCTTCTAACCCAAACCATTTTGGGATTCTGTGATGTCCATGTGCTCCTTCCTGTCCACTGCATCAGCAATTCCTGCAAAGCTTGAGATGCAACTTTGAGCATGCTTTAGTGTGCTTGGGAGTACAGACAGCCTTGGCATGGGTGGGGAGGAACTGGAGCTGCTCTGGTGTGGGAGGATGGGGTGAAGCCCAGAGTCCTGGCTCAGTGGCCAGGGCAGCAGCAGTTGCAAAATGCTGGGGTTGCACAATGCCTTTGCAGTGGAGACACGGCCTGGGAACTCTGAAAGGACAGATGAAATCAGTTCCTTCTCAAATCTGCCAACAGCTTCTTGCATGGGAGTTCCAGCTCCTTCCCTGCCACTGTCACTGGCTTCACCCAGGTATGGTCTGATGGCAGGACAGGGTGTCAGATGGAAGCACAGCTCAGCCTTGTGTTTTCCACCCTCTTGGAAGGGAATCTGTGCAGAKGCAAAGGAGGGTGTGTTGTAAGATGTGCTGAGAGGAGGAGTGCAGGTACGTTGGTCTCATTTRAGCCATAAAGTCAGTGGTGGATGGGTAAATTTCAGAAACCTTGCTGGAGAATATCCTGCAGAGAAGAAAYGCCAGGCATTGGCCCTGTGTTCATGCTGGAGGGATGTTGCATTGRTGTTTCAGTGTCACTGCACTGCCTGGATTCCCCTGTGAGGGAACAGAGAGGTCCTTGGACCACAAAAGCTTTTGGCAGTCTGGTGCCACCCTTCCTCTCCTGCACAAATGGGAAAGGTGCCGGGTGCTCAGGCCTGCTACACCCTTCCCATGGGAGTCTCTGCCAGAAAACTGGGGGTGTTGTCTACAAGGAGAAGGAGAGCAAGCAGAGCAATGGAGGAGAAACATTCATGTGTACAAATTTCTCATCAAGTCAAAGAAAAATCTCCAGCTTGTCCTAGAGGTGAAGAGAAGTAAATCAGTATTCTTCCTTCCATGCACCCAGCCCAGGTTCAAACTGACAGAGGATGAGGTTAAATTGGATATTGCAAGGAAATTCTTCCCTGTGAGGGTGGTGAGACCGTGGCACAGGGTGCCCAGCGAAGCTGTGGCTGCCCCTGGATCCCTGGAAGTGTTCCAGGCCAGGCTGGAGCAGGGCTGGGATAGTGGAAGATGTCCCAGTCCATGGCAGGGGCTTGGACTAGATGATCTCTAAGGTCCTTTCCAATCCAAACAATTCTGTTTTTCTGTGATCCTGCCCTACAGGCAGATCTGCTGGACTGTCATCACAAGTGTGACATGGCTTGCAGGATTTTGCCAACATTTGCTCCAGTTATGGAATCCCCAGTGAGAAGGCAGGTGAACATGGTGGAGCTCTCCTCGAATCATCAGGGAATTGAGGTGGAACAAACAATACCAAGAGAGCACTTGGTCATGAACAGTGTGGGTTTCCTGAGTCTTCCTTCCTTTCACAGCTCACTGCCCACCACTGGAGACAGCCCTGTTGCCAAACCCAGTATCCAGACTGAGCTGGGTAATGGGATAASTGCATATTTTAACCCACAGGACCACCCTGGTCTATGCTGGGTTGATGGGCAGCGTGCAAGTCATTCTGCTCTGTGTGGATTTCAACAACACCTGAAGGGAGGGGATTGTGTGTTTGCCTTACACAGGGTAACACATTTCCTCTCATGCAAACTTAGCAAAACATGCCTTGAGAAAATGAAAAAGTCTTACTGAGGTTACAGCAGTGAGGCAAACAAATGTCCTGTTCTTGCTGGGGGTAGATTAGCTTTGCACTCGGGAATTGCCTTCAGAGGTTCCTTGGTTGGCCTTGCTGAGACTTKGCACTGTGGCACTCATTCTGCCAGCTGGGGACACCTCTCACATCTGCTTTTCTTTTTTTTTTTTTACTGATAGACTGAGAAAAGCTCATTGGCCTTTATTACACTTGAGTTTATCAGTGGTGGCACACAAGGGCATTTGTTTGTTGTCTTGCTCATGCCCTCTAGTGTCACACACAAYGGGCAGAGAGCACTTCCACAAGTGTCACACTTTGTCACGTTCCCAGCGCTACAAAATC